CTGGGCTCCAGTTTGAATACCCCGTCCCGTAATCCACATGCCAGGCAACACTATAAAGCTGCCCGCACCAGTGGGGCACAGCGGTCGGGGGGCAAGCAAGAGGGCAAGCAGGCGGCCGTCTCCAGGAAAGCGGGCAAGCGGGTGGGTCCGTTATCGGACACCCAAGCCCCCAAAAGACGCCCTTGGAAGACCACCAGGTCCACGTCGTGCTCGGTGCCCGGCACGTACTCCATCAGCAGCATGGCATTGCCCCAACCCAAACCGATGCCCGGGTGGTCGGCGTCATCCCGTAGGTCACGCCAGAGGCGGGCGGCGTGAGCGTGGCACTGCCCGGGGGTCTCCACCAAACGCACCCCCACCCCACCGGCCCCAAACTCCAGTTTGGCCACGGCGGGGAAAGGGACGGTGCCCGCTGCCCGCTCCACGTCCCCGTGGCTCCGCAGCCGGCGGCACGGCACGGCGAAGGTGGAAGGGGGTGGGCGACCACCCCGGCATCTCTGGAGGTGTTGGTGGGTCCGGCTCTTCTGCTTGGCCACCCGGACGGCGGCGGGCGAGTTGCCGGGCAAGCCCAGGCGTTGGCACACCAGTGCGGCCAGTACCACGCAGTCGTCCCAGTAGGAGAGGCAGGCGTGGGGCCGCAGCCCCCGGGAGCGCAGCAGCTCCGTCACCCGCTCGGCGTGTTCCTCGTCCCGCCGGTGCTCCCGGCTGTCGTAGGGCAGGAAGGTCTCCACCAGCCCCGCCGCAAAGTGCTCCGGGTCCGACTCCACCAGGTGGATCTGCGGGCACGGGGAGGTGTCACTGTGGTGGGATGGGAGGTGGCACGGGGTGGCACGGGGACCGCGGCTCGGCCACCCGCCCCTGCCACTGGGACAATGAGCTGGGTGGAGGGACTGGGTGCTGCTACGGTGCAACAGGTTCACTCTGAAACCTACTGATGGACAGTGTTCACTCTGAAGCCTACTGATGGCCAACTTTCTCTCTGAAGCCTACTGATGTCCAGCGTTCACTCTGAAGCCTACTGATGGCCAACGGTCACTCTGAAGCCTATTGATGAACGGTCACTCTGAAGCCTACTGATGGCCAACATTCACTCTGAAGCCTATGGATGGCCAACGTTCACTTTGAAGCCTACTGATGGACAGTGTTCACTTTGAAGCCTACTGATGGACAGTGTTCACTCTGAAGCCTACTGATGAACAGCGTTCACTCTGAAACCTGCTGATGGCCAACGTTCACTCTTAAGCCTACTGATGGCCAGCATTCACGCTGAAATCTACAGATGGCCAATGTTCACTCAAACCTACTGATGGCCAATGTTCTTTCTGAAGCCTACTGATGGACAGCATTCACTCTGAAACCTGCTGATGGCCAGTGTTCACTCTGAAGCCTACTGATGGCCAACGTTCACTCTGAAGCCTATAGATGGCCAATGTTCACCCTGAAGCCTATTGATGGCCAGTGCTCACTTTGAAACCTACTGATGGACAGTGTTCACTCTGAAACCTGCTGATGGCCAACGTTCACGCTGAAACCTGCTGATGGCCAGCATTCACACTGAAACCAATGGATGGGTAATGTTCACCCTGAAGCCTACTGATGGCCAATGTTCACTCTGAAACCTACTAATGGACAGTGTTCACTCAAACCTACTGATGGCCAATGTTCACTCTGAAGCTTACTGATGGCTAGCATTCACTCTGAAACTTACGGATGGCCAGTGTTCACTCTGAAGCCTACTGATGGCCAATGTTCACTCTGAAACCTACTGATGGCCAACGGTCACTCTGAAACCCACTGACGAACAGCATTCACTCTGAAGCCTACTGATGGCCAACGTTCACTATGAAACCTACTGATGGACAGCGTTCACTCTGAAACCTACTGATGGCCAACATTGACACTGAAACCTATTGATGGCCAATGTTCACTCTGAAACCTACTGATGGCCAATGTTCACTCTTAAGCCTACTGATGGACAGCATTCACGCTGAAACCTATGGATGGCCAATGTTCACTCTGAAACCTGCTGATGGACAGTGTTCACTCAAACTTGCTGATGGACAGTGTTCACTCTGAAACCTGCTGATGGACAGTGTTCACTCAAACCTACTGAAGGACAGCGTTCACTCTGAAGCCTACTGATGGCCAGCGTTCACTCTGAAACCTGCTGATGGACAGTGTTCACTCTGAAGCCTACTGATGAACAGTGTTCACTCAAACCTACTGATGGCCAATGTTCACTCTGAAACCTACTGATGGCCAGTGTTCACTCTGGAGCCTACTGATGGCCAACGTTCTCTCTGAAGCCTACTGATGGCCAATGTTCACTCTGAAACCTGCTGATGGCCAACGTTCACTCTGAAACCTACTGATGGCCAACGTTCTCTCTGAAGCCTACTGAAGGACAGTGTTCACTATGAAACCTGCTGATGGACAGTGTTCACTCAAACCTACTGATGGCCAATGTTCACTCTGAAACCTATGGATGGCCAATGTTCACTCTGAAGCCTACTGATGACCAATGTTCACTCTGAAGCCTACTGATGGCCAAGCCTCCTTACCCTCAGGCCGTAGTTGCGGGCCGCCTCCCAGACGAAGCTCTTGCTGACGCCACCGGCCCCGATGAGCAGGATGTCCTTGCCCTCCACCAGGTGACACTGCGCCCGGTGCAGCAGGGCCTCGGCCAGCAGCCGGGGCAGGTCACCGTGGGGCTCCCCCACAGCGCGCCCCATGGCGTCGGCTAGCAGGCAGGTCTCCAGGCACCTTTGGCTGTTGGTGGACAGGGCCACCAGCTCCAGGGCGTCATCCACGCACGCCAGCAAGAAGTCCACGCCTGGGGACGATGACACCGCGCTCAGCACCATGGGGGGACAGTGCCACCACCATGGGGTGACCCCTGGGGGACCCCGTGCTCACCCAGGAGGTCAGTGTGGGCGCGGGCACCACCGCGCTGCTGAGGGCTCAGCTCGGCCTCGGCGGCCAGGAGGGCGGCCATGGCGGCCTCGGAGGCCACCCGGAGCCGCGTGGCCAGTGCCTGCCGCTGGCTGGTGGCCACCACCCCCCACTGCTGCAGGCTGGAGTCCAGGCCCTGGGGCAGCGTCGCCCCGTGCCGCACCGGCGCCTCCGCACGTCCCACGCCGCACGCCACCTGTGGGGACACGCCAACACGGGCATGGGGACACGGACGGCCACCCCGTTGCCTGGGGACATGGGCTGCCACCAGGGCATGGGGACATTGATGGTCATCGGGGCATGGGGACATGGGTGGCCACCATAGCTTGGGGACATGGACTCCCACCGGGGCATGGGGACATTGATGGTCATCAGGGCATGGGGACATAGATGGTCATTGTAGCCTGGGGACATGAGGTGCCACCAGCATATGGGGACATTGATGGTCACTGTAGCCTGGGGACATGGGCTACCATCAGGGCATGGGGACATTAATGGTCATCGGGGCATGGGGACATGGGTGGCCACCATAGCTTGGGGGCATGAGGTGCCGCCAGGGCATGGGGACATTGATGGTCATCAGGACATGGATGGCCACCATAGGTTGGGGATGTGGGCTGCCACCAGGGCATGGGGACATTGATGGTCATCAGCGTATGGGGACATAGATGGTCACTGTAGCCTGGGGACATGGGCTACCATCAGGGCATGGGGACATTAATGGTCATCAGGGCATGGGGACATGGGTGGCCACCATAGCGTGGGGGCATGAGCTGCCACTAGGGCATGGGGACATTGATGGTCATCAGGACATGGATGGCCACCATAGGTTGGGGATGTGGGCTGCCACCAGGGCATGGGGACATTGATGGTCACTGTAGCCTGGGGACATGGGCTACCATCAGGGCATGGGGACATTAATGGTCATCAGGGCATGGGGACATGGGTGGCCACCATAGCGTGGGGGCATGAGCTGCCACTAGGGCATGGGGACATTGATGGTCATCAGGGCATGGGGACATGGATGGCCACCATAGCTTGGGGGCATGAGGTGCCGCCAGGGCATGGGGACATGGATGGCCACCATAGCTTGGGGGCATGGGCTACCACCAGGGCATGGGGACATGCATGGTCACCATGGCCTGGGGAAATGGGCTGCCAGGGTATCAAGACATGGATGGCCACCAGGGCATGGGGACATGGATGGCCACCATAACTGGGGGACGTGGGCTGCCACCAAGGTATGGGGAGCTGGGCTGCCATCCTGTAGACTGGGGACACAATGATGCAAAGCATGGGGACATTGATGGCCACCATAGCCTGAGGACACACAAGGCCACCAGACAGCATGGGGACATGGATGGCCACCAGGGCCTGAGAATATGCAGGACCACTAGGACATGGGGACAAGTGCCACCACCACATAGCCTGGTGGGACACCATGGCCACCACCCCCCACCCACCTGAAGGGGAGGACCCCGGGGTGTGGGAGAGGGGGGGTCGTACCTGGCAGAGCTGGGGCCGGTCCCCCCAGGACCTGCAGACCAGGGTGCAGATGCGCAGGGCCACCGGCAGCCGTGGGGCTGGGCTGCCTGGGGGGCGAGGGACAGGGCAGGCACGGCCGCCGCCCGGGGACGGGGGTCCCTGCCCAACCTCCCCCCCACCTCCACCCCACCTCGTGGGCTTCTGGGACCCCCTGTGGCACTTTGGTGGTCCCAGCCAACCCCAACCCCAGGGGACCATGAGGGTCCAGGGTGGCCATCTTCCCCCCAACTCTAGGGGACACTGGGGGTCCAGGGTGACCTTCTCCCCCCCAACCCCAGGGAACTGTGGTGTCCAGGTGGACCTTCTCCTCCACCCCAGGGGACCATGAGGGTTGAGAGTGGCCACCTTCCTCCCAACTCTACGGGACACTGGGGGTCCAGGGTGACCTTATCCCCCACCCCAGGGGACTTTGGGGTCCAGGGTGACCTTCTCCCCCCACCCCAGGGGACCATGAGGGTCCAAGGTGACTTTATCCCTCAACCCAGGGGACTTTGGGGTCCAGGGTGACCCTCTCCCCCACCCCAGGGGACTTTGGGGTCTAGGGTGACCTTCTCTCCCACCCCAGGGGACCATGAGGGTCCAAGGTGGCCACCTTCATGCCCTGCCCCAGGAGCCCAGGAGTTTGGTTGCCCCGATGGCCACCTCCCCACCCACCCACCCTAGGGAATGGCCACGTGGCCAGCACAGCCACAGGGACCCAAGGGACCCCGGGGGGACCCTTCCCTCCCCTCCCAGGGTGGTGGGCACCCGAGGGCGGGGGTCTTACGTGGGGGGGGCACGGGCAGGCGGGCGGTGGGCACCAGGGCCTCCAGCAGGACGGTGTCCTCCTCCCGCAGCCCGCGGAGCCGGGCACTCACCGCCTGCGCCACCGCGGCCCCCTCCTCCTTCCCGTGGGTGCTGCGGGTGCCCGTCCCCCGCCAACGCCACCCCGCCGGCCGCACCACCACCTGCGGGCACCCCCAGGTCACCCCACACCGTGGCCACCATCATCCCTCACCCACACATGCCACCTTGTGCCACCCCACCACTTGTGGGCACCCCAATGTCACCCCACCACCGTGGCCACCATCATCCCACACCTACACATGCCACCCTGTGCCATCCCACCACCGTTGGGTACCCCAATGTCACCCCACACCGTGGCCACCATCATCCCTCACCCACACATGCCATCTTGTGCCACCCCACCACCATTGGGTACCCCAATGTCACCCCACCACCATGGCCACCATCCACCACCTACACATGCCACCCTGTGCCACCCCACCACCATTGGGTACCCCAATGTCACCCTACACCATGGCCACCATCCACCATCTACACATGCCACCTTCTGCCACCCCACCACCGTTGGGTACCCCAATGTCACCCCACACCGTGGCCACCATCATCTCCCACCTACACACGCCACCCTGTGCCACCTTCTGCCACCCCACCACCATTGGGTACCCCAATGTCACCCCACCACCAAGGCCACCATCCCCCACCTACACATGCCACCTTGTGCCACCCCATGCCACCCCACCACTGTTGGGTGCCCCAATGTCACCCCACCACCAAGGCCACCATCCCCCACCTACACATGCCACCTTGTGCCACCCCATGCCACCCCACCACTGTTGGGTGCCCCAATGTCACCCCACCACCAAGGCCACCATCCCCCACCTACACATGCCACCTTGTGCCACCCCATGCCACCCCACCACTGTTGGGTGCCCCAATGTCACCCCACCACCAAGGCCACCATCCCCCACCTACACATGCCACCTTCTGCCACCCCATGCCACCCCACCACCGTTGGGTACCCCAATGTCACCCCACCACCGTGGCCACCATCCACCACCTCCACATGCCACCCCATGCCACCCCACCACCGTTGGGTACCCCAATGTCACCACACCACCGTGGCCACCATCATCCCCCACCTCCACATGCCATCTTGTGCCACCCCACCACCGTTGGGTACCCCAATGTCACCCCACACCATGGCCACCATCCACCACCTACACATGCCACCCTGTGCCACCCCACCACCATTGGGTACCCCAATGTCACCCCACCACCATGGCCACCATCCACCACCTACACATGCCACCCTGTGCCACCCCACCACCATTGGGTACCCCAATGTCCCCCCACACCGTGGCCACCATCCACCACCTACACATACCACCCTGTGCCACCTCACCACCATTAGATACCCCAATGTCACCCCACCACCATGGCCACAATCATCCCCCACCTACATATGCCACCCTGTGCCACCCCACCACCATCAGGTACCCCAATGTCACCCCACACCGTGGCCACCATCCCCCACCTACACATGCCACCCTGTGCCACCCCATGCCACCCCACCATCGTGGCCACCATCCCCCACCTACACATGCCACCCTGTGCCACCCTGTGCCACCCCACCACCATTGGGTACCCCAATGTCACCCCACACCATGGCCACCATCATCCCCCACCTACACATGCCACCTTGTGCCACCCCATGCCACCCCACCACTGTTGGGTGCCCCAATGTCACCCCACCACCAAGGCCACCATCCCCCACCTACACATGCCACCTTCTGCCACCCCATGCCACCCCACCACCGTTGGGTACCCCAATGTCACCCCACCACCGTGGCCACCATCCACCACCTCCACATGCCACCCCATGCCACCCCACCACCGTTGGGTACCCCAATGTCACCACACCACCGTGGCCACCATCATCCCCCACCTCCACATGCCATCTTGTGCCACCCCACCACCGTTGGGTACCCCAATGTCACCCCACACCATGGCCACCATCCACCACCTACACATGCCACCCTGTGCCACCCCACCACCATTGGGTACCCCAATGTCACCCCACCACCATGGCCACCATCCACCACCTACACATGCCACCCTGTGCCACCCCACCACCATTGGGTACCCCAATGTCCCCCCACACCGTGGCCACCATCCACCACCTACACATACCACCCTGTGCCACCTCACCACCATTAGATACCCCAATGTCACCCCACCACCATGGCCACAATCATCCCCCACCTACATATGCCACCCTGTGCCACCCCACCACCATCAGGTACCCCAATGTCACCCCACACCGTGGCCACCATCCCCCACCTACACATGCCACCCTGTGCCACCCCATGCCACCCCACCATCGTGGCCACCATCCCCCACCTACACATGCCACCCTGTGCCACCCTGTGCCACCCCACCACCATTGGGTACCCCAATGTCACCCCACACCATGGCCACCATCATCCCCCACCTACACATGCCACCTTGTGCCACCCCATGCCACCCCACCACTGTTGGGTGCCCCAATGTCACCCCACCACCAAGGCCACCATCCCCCACCTACACATGCCACCTTCTGCCACCCCATGCCACCCCACCACCGTTGGGTACCCCAATGTCACCCCACCACCGTGGCCACCATCCACCACCTCCACATGCCACCCCATGCCACCCCACCACCGTTGGGTACCCCAATGTCACCACACCACCGTGGCCACCATCATCCCCCACCTCCACATGCCATCTTGTGCCACCCCACCACCGTTGGGTACCCCAATGTCACCCCACACCATGGCCACCATCCACCACCTACACATGCCACCCTGTGCCACCCCACCACCATTGGGTACCCCAATGTCACCCCACCACCATGGCCACCATCCACCACCTACACATGCCACCCTGTGCCACCCCACCACCATTGGGTACCCCAATGTCCCCCCACACCGTGGCCACCATCCACCACCTACACATACCACCCTGTGCCACCTCACCACCATTAGATACCCCAATGTCACCCCACCACCATGGCCACAATCATCCCCCACCTACATATGCCACCCTGTGCCACCCCACCACCATCAGGTACCCCAATGTCACCCCACACCGTGGCCACCATCCCCCACCTACACATGCCACCCTGTGCCACCCCATGCCACCCCACCATCGTGGCCACCATCCCCCACCTACACATGCCACCCTGTGCCACCCTGTGCCACCCCACCACCATTGGGTACCCCAATGTCACCCCACACCATGGCCACCATCATCCCCCACCTACACATGCCACCTTGTGCCACCCCATGCCACCCCACCACTGTTGGGTGCCCCAATGTCACCCCACCACCAAGGCCACCATCCCCCACCTACACATGCCACCTTCTGCCACCCCATGCCACCCCACCACCGTTGGGTACCCCAATGTCACCCCACCACCGTGGCCACCATCCACCACCTCCACATGCCACCCCATGCCACCCCACCACCGTTGGGTACCCCAATGTCACCACACCACCGTGGCCACCATCATCCCCCACCTCCACATGCCATCTTGTGCCACCCCACCACCGTTGGGTACCCCAATGTCACCCCACACCATGGCCACCATCCACCACCTACACATGCCACCCTGTGCCACCCCACCACCATTGGGTACCCCAATGTCACCCCACCACCATGGCCACCATCCACCACCTACACATGCCACCCTGTGCCACCCCACCACCATTGGGTACCCCAATGTCCCCCCACACCGTGGCCACCATCCACCACCTACACATACCACCCTGTGCCACCTCACCACCATTAGATACCCCAATGTCACCCCACCACCATGGCCACAATCATCCCCCACCTACATATGCCACCCTGTGCCACCCCACCACCATCAGGTACCCCAATGTCACCCCACACCGTGGCCACCATCCCCCACCTACACATGCCACCCTGTGCCACCCCATGCCACCCCACCATCGTGGCCACCATCCCCCACCTACACATGCCACCCTGTGCCACCCTGTGCCACCCCACCACCATTGGGTACCCCAATGTCACCCCACACCATGGCCACCATCATCCCCCACCTACACATGCCACCTTGTGCCACCCCATGCCACCCCACCACTGTTGGGTGCCCCAATGTCACCCCACCACCAAGGCCACCATCCCCCACCTACACATGCCACCTTCTGCCACCCCATGCCACCCCACCACCGTTGGGTACCCCAATGTCACCCCACCACCGTGGCCACCATCCACCACCTCCACATGCCACCCCATGCCACCCCACCACCGTTGGGTACCCCAATGTCACCCCACACCGTGGCCACCATCATCCCTCACCCACACATGCCATCTTGTGCCACCCCACCACCATTGGGTACCCCAATGTCACCCCACCACCATGGCCACCATCCACCACCTACACATGCCACCCTGTGCCACCCCACCACCATTGGGTACCCCAATGTCACCCTACACCATGGCCACCATCCACCATGGCCACCATCATCCCTCACCCACACATGCCACCTTGTGCCACCCCACCACTTGTGGGCACCCCAATGTCACCCCACCACCGTGGCCACCATCATCCCACACCTACACATGCCACCCTGTGCCATCCCACCACCGTTGGGTACCCCAATGTCACCCCACACCGTGGCCACCATCATCCCTCACCCACACATGCCATCTTGTGCCACCCCACCACCATTGGGTACCCCAATGTCACCCCACCACCATGGCCACCATCCACCACCTACACATGCCACCCTGTGCCACCCCACCACCATTGGGTACCCCAATGTCACCCTACACCATGGCCACCATCCACCATCTACACATGCCACCTTCTGCCACCCCACCACCGTTGGGTACCCCAATGTCACCCCACCACCGTGGCCACCATCCACCACCTCCACATGCCACCCCATGCCACCCCACCACCCTTGGGTAC